ATGGGTGGTCAACTAAGATCAAATTTTCGTAATTTTTTTATTTGCCCTCATTCATGGCGCTATCTATTTATCAGGCCTTAACTTCCTTGAAGTTCCCTGTTCTGAAATGAGAATTGATTTAATTGAGTCATGGAAACACGAACAACGCCGAAACATCTGGCATCGGCTCGTCCAGCCGAGCGATTCGGATAAAGTCAAGAGTAGGTAGTTGGAAGAGTTAGCTTTGGGGTCAGGGTTAAAGTTAGGACATGGAAGTGGGTGGCCTCTAGACTTTGGCCCAAGATGACCTGTAGTACAACGGTGTACTTATTCCCGTGTCTAGCCATATCTTCTAGTCAGTATGTATGAAATAGTCACTTCAAACATTCATTTTAAAACGTCGAATTTTCCTTAAACTTTATATTAGAAATAATTAATCATTACGGCTATTCAAATGTTTGCCTTTCTGACGTATTTATGCTACTAGGATGTTTATTCATGTAGCTTACTATGATCGGGCTTATTAATGTTCAACACGAAATGCCACAATAAGATCTGTATCTGTTCAGTATTTCAGGAGCAGCAGGTAATCTAACTGCAAAGACACGAGCAAAATGTGACTTATCTTGGAAAAAGTAAATAGCAAGTCGTTCGGAAACTGAGGAAAAGGATGAGTGCGCAGACCTTATTAAAATCCGTTAAAACTGTAATACGTATCTACTTGAAAAAATAACTTAGACGAAGACGTATATTCAGATAAAAGGAAACCAAGAAATTAATATTTCTCACCCATACTCGCATTAAAATACAGCCGAATTTAGATAAACATGGAAAACAATAGAAGTACGTAATGTTTATAAGGATTGAATCTATCCTACTGTAATTTTTGCAGCTGGTTGAAAGAACGATCATTCAAGTGCCGGCAGGCTACTGCGTATGAAGTTTATGGAGTTTTTTTCATGCTAATCAGGTCCGTACTCTCATGTAAATATCCTCCCATTTAAAGGCATGTTTACTGGTCTTCGTCACTGTTTCTTGAGGTTTTCCGCATGCTGCACATGGCGGCAAACAAATGCCTCATTTGCGCTCAAGAGGTTTAGGCCTTCTTACCTTCGGTGTTACGTCGGCGACGCTGCAGAAGGAGGTCCGGGGGATTTTCCGGCTTTGTGTGCATTTCTGGCCTTCGGCCTTCTACAGAGCAGAATATGTCGTTTGGATTTATTGTAGATCTCTGGATGATGCTGTTTTCTCCAGCGTGGTTTAGGAGCACTATTCCACCTGACTTCTCCCACATGATTGTATCAGATGGCTGAACCGTCTGCTGGCAGGTAAATCTTATCGAGTGGTCTCCAAGTACGGTAGTTTCCGCGGGAATTCGTGCTGGCATTGCATCTAGAAGAAACATCGGCGTTTACGGGCAACGTCCATTTCGCAGACAAGAGAATGTCGGAGTGAGTTAGTTTCACAGTCGTAAAAAGAAAACAGTGCATTAATAAAGTACAAGTTCAGGCCCCCATCTATCGCATTGTGGCAAATTAGCATGGGCTTCATAGCAACTGTGGATCCCACAGAGTATCATAACGCAAACCCTATTCTGATCTAGCCTCGCGTATTGCTGTCAAAAGTATACAACGCAGTTATGGTAAAAATGGTAGCCACAATTTTATAGTTACGTTAAACATGTGTTTTGGTTGCATTCGTATCATGCATGTACCTATTCTAACTAACACGGATGGGCACAGGCATAAATATTTGGTCTGTCTTCGTTAAATCTGGTAGGTTTCCTAACATGCAAATGTATCACGCCGTACTGTGTTATTCTATAGGAGACATGACGGCTGTGGTTAGACCTGAATCAGCAGATAGGAAGTGATGACGCAAGGCTTTAAGAACGATAGTTAGTGATTGAAAATTTAGCAGCTAAGTGGGCCTGTTACAATGTTTTTCTCGGGTGGAGAAAGGTACATCATATTGGAAAAATGGCGGAGTTCCACCACTTCATGACCTACCTTCTTCTGCTTTCAAAATAAACTTTGTAACAGTCAAGAAAGGACTTGAACGCTGGGCACTGTCTTTCCAAGCGCAGTAGTAGACACCGACATCCTCAGGTCCTGTAGAGGCGATATACAGCTGACTGTCCTTTGTCGAAGAAATTGGTTGCTCTCCACCCGCGCGGAACCAAAGCACCTTCTCACTCTTTCTCCTCCCTTCTCCTTGCCTTTCCCTTGGGGACCTTCTTGGACAGGAGATAATGGCGGAGTCACCTCTCTTGACGAGTAGGACAATTGTTTCCGAGGGATCGTAGTTGAAGAAGTCGAAGGCAGCACCTTAAGTTTCAAAAAATATTCAAGTTAATGAACACAGCCTTCGAACTAAGCTTTGTCAGACGAAGACACTTGTGATAACAAAAGTCGACTTTTTTAAAAACAGGAGAGAACCTGGAAGCACACGCTAGAAGTGCTTCAACGTCCAAATCAGCTCTTATGCAATTAACCTGACAGCATCAAAGAGGAGAATACCTATTCTTCTTTTCACCGTGGTCTATATGAGTCATTTTGTTATAGCGTCACTACTGGGGACTGGAGGTTAATAAATGTAAGACTATCGTAACCAGATGTGCTTCTTTGTAAGGAGAATTGGTATCTTTATGTAAGGCACATCAGTCTGTCTCAGGTTTAAGAGGTTACCGGAATTCTAAGGAGGCAAAAGTCCCAATCGATGTGTCAAATGAAGCATTTAAATACTGGAAGATTTCGCCGAATTTCCCCTTAAGGAGCTCTGCGTTCACATGAAGAAGGCGCCTAGTAACTCCCTGGCACAAGCAGCTTGACAGATCAGTTTCAACCAGTTAGAGTCAAGTTCATGTTTTAGGAAACTTGGCTTAAGACGGATCCCGATTCTCCTATCCTGTTAGCAAATGTTGGCAAATTAATTCGCGTCTCCTTACCACTGATAGTTAATCCACTTTATTTTACTTGGAACACACAGGGTTGTCTATTTCAAATAACTAGTTCTGCTCCGAAACCAACATGGAGAAAAGCATTTTGTTGAGATCCATGTCATAGAAAGCAAAAAACGTTGTGAGAACCTCCACTGGACAACTGTTCTAAACTCACTCAAGTCAGCATCCTGTCCTGTACGGTGAATTATAAACTCTGTCAGAGAAACAGTCTGAAGCTCTTGAGTATCCGATTTAACTCTCTGTACACGGCAGAACCGATGGTGCGTCGCGTTTGCCGCGTACAGTGACGTGGCCGGCAGTTTCAGCCGTTGCACAGCCTCTCCATGCCTCGCTGCTGCTCTCAGGATCTCAGCGCCCGCTGCATCCTCGTAGACGACAATGTCACCCTCATGAACATTATAGGCTGGACAACGTAAAACCACCTCGTCGTCCCTCTGTCGTAGGTGGAGGTCGACGCGGTACTGTGGTACGGAGGGTAGATGCCCACTTTCAGTCGAGGTCAAAAATCCGAGTAAAAGAATGGCGGTAATTAAATGCTTGGTTCGCCAGATGGTTTTTACCCTGGGGCCGTTTCCCAGTCCCCGGGGTGGACCGGTGTCCAGCGAGCCCGTCATTGTTGATCTGATGTCTTACCGAAGCCGATCTCGTGCCTGCGGCAAGTTGTGCTGTCCGGTCTGAGATTTGGACACCTTTATGTAGGCAGATGTAGGCTTGCGTGTGCGCATGTGCAGCAAGAAGATACAGCCACTCGCGCACGCACTGGACCCGCAAATGTTAACCAATGACTTGCCGCCACTTCCTGGACATGTGCACCACCTGGTCTTTCGAGGACTGAGATTTCTTTCTGCAAAACAGCCGAAATAGCTATTCGGAAAGGCTTTCATGAGGCAGAACCAAGGCTTAAATAAAACTCATGACCTCTAAGTGCATCAGGGGTAACGATAAGGAGTAGGAACCACAAGTAGATGACAACTACAAAAGTACACCCTTAAGTTCAGTGCGACTCTAAGCTTCACTTATTATTCACCGTTTCCATTATTGGAAATTTCCTCTCCTTCCTCACTAAATGTAAAGTTACCAGCGGCGCTTTATTCAAAGTCCGATATTTTTTGAACATTGTTTTTTCATTTATTTCTTAATTATCACGCTCACTTTTTTGCCGAATGACAGCCAGCGATGGGGCTTTCGGCGGGATTTTACCTATTTTCTGTGTCTTTTTGCTCTCCGTCCTGTGTGTTACCTCACCCGTAAAATCCCTCTACCACCATTCAGTGTATGACACTGTCCACAGACTAGCTCTAGTTGTGGGTCCTACACCCTATTGCTGCCGCACCAACTTTGAGGGAACTGCTATGTTTATTCTTGCATTTCTTTTATAAAATTCTGATGTTGCCATTGTATCTTCCTAACACAACGGGCACGGCTAGCAGATGTTTTACCATATTATCTGAGACAAAAAATCTGCAAAGCTTTGACAAAAAACTTATTAATTTGTTTTCATGTAGTTCCTGGGTAACACAGGTTTTCTGGTAGTTGTTTTTAAATCCAGTTGACATTTTACCAACTGCTTGATTTTGCCCTGTGACAACGTAAAATCGGTATCGCCCCTTAGAATGTGTTCGTAACCGCGACTTTGGTTTCCTTTAATGCAAGACATTTAGTTGCGTCTTTATCTCCATCTATTACAAAATTTTTGTGTACTATCTCACCGGAATTCACTGGTAGCCCTTCAGCTTCTTAAAAAGAACTCACTTTTAAGGCGTATTGCTTTGAGGTGAAACCTTGTCGCGTAAATTTATGAAGTTTTCGGCCAGTGGTACTGAGACAAACAAGCTATGGTTTATTTAGAAACTGATGAATTAATTTTGAGAAACGTTTGCAAGACCTGTTTTTCTCAGGTTAGATCCGAAAATATATATAAATATTCGAGATGGATTCCCTTAGCTTCAGTAAAATGACCCAGTCACATTCGTGACTCTGAAATGATTAGTAATTCAGTTAGCGCGCAATGAGTAGCTTAGTTATACTCAGAATATCGATGTTGCCAAAGAGATCACGTACGTAATTCACCAGTTTTCCGCTGCTGCCAAGCATATCTGTGAGAGAATCGGCTCAGCAATGACTTTTCCAACGTTCCCCATATTGTTTCGCGTACGTGTTGCCGCCTTTCACGTTTAAGGATGTAAATTCATCAAAAATCGTGGCGCGAAATTGAAGAGAACTCATCGAGTCAGGTCGTTTCAGGCCCGACCGCAAACCTAAAAGCTGGAGTTGAGCTGGAATCAGTTAGCTTCAGTGAAGTAACCAAGCATTGTCCGTGGGAGTTTTGTACCGCTAAACGTTAAACGTAATTTAGTCCGCTGTTTGGCAGAAAGACTGAGAAGAATCTGTTCAGCTGATAGCGTTGAGAAAGAGCTCAAGATCATCAAAAGCCTTTTTCGCCAGAACGGGTATCCTGATTGATCCATTGCTAAGAACATGGCCGAAAGACAACAAAAGCTCCCGATACTAACGGCAGGAAAGAAAAGGCTCTTCATCAGGGTCCCATTTCATCGGGATGCACCAAGTGAACTTTTAAGAAGACGCCTAATTCAAGCTGTATCACAGACCTTTCAAGCAGCTTGTACTGTTCTCCACCAGGTCCATCCTATACGGAGAGGGCAAGGATAAACTACCAGCTCAGACCACCTCTAGGTGTATTTACTCTTTCACCTGCTCCTGTGGAGCAGAATATATTGGTAGCACGAGCCGGCGTTTATCCAAAAGAATAAAAGGACATCTCCCAGTATGGTTAGGAAAGGCTCAAATAAAGAACATCAACAGCTCGATCCTCGCGCACATGGTAGATATAGACCACCATGTAGACGCCAGAGGGGCCCTCAGAGTGATTTACAAGGTCCCGTCAAGCTATCCAAAACTGCTTGGGCAGCGCTTATTGGCTACAGCAGAGGCGGCTACAATCATGCTACGCGGACCGGTCCTATGCGCACAGAAGAACTTCATACGGGTCCTACATTTGCCATGGTTCAAAGCCACCAAGCCAGCCACCCGCATGTAATTACCTTCGTCGGGATCCACCTTCCCCTGATGTTAACTGGAATTGTGGTATTTCACTCTCCCCCTCCACTCTCCAAACCCGAGCTACGGCTTACTTATCTACTTTGCCGTATCTTTTAATCCTTTACTTCAGTAGCCATATAAATGTACAGGCCTGAAGAGAAATTATCGAAAGTAGACATATGCTCGCCAAATTGCCTTTAGAAGTCTAGTAGTAGGGAAATTCGTCTTCTGCGTGCTTGTAATACTTATATATATTATTTTTCCAAATATAAATATTTTCCCCACTAACCGAAATCTTTACTCTATGAAAGTCGAAGATATTACTTTGATAATTGTGCAGACTAACGCTGAATTTGCAACTTTTCAGTCAAAATCGCCGCGAATAGATATGAATAGCCGAATACACTTGTTTGTGCGAGGGAGAAGGAAACAGGCCAAGTCCCCAAACTCGAGGTTAATTTGTTTGAAATCTTTGTTGTGTGTTAATGGGGGTATCACAACAAGCGGCACTGACACAACAGTGTAATTAGTCAAGGATATGTGTTATGAGTTCGTAGCTTGCGGCTCAAAGACCTGTAAGCCGGCAGAAAGTCGTTATATCGGTTGATACCAGCTTGTTTTTTCGGTTAACATCAGAGCTGTCCGCTTTACTTCCCCCACAGTCCGAGGACTCGCACCTGGTTTTGAAATTAATGTTCTGATTACTCCTGCAGGTGTGAGAATCAACTTGGGTAATTCACCTCTCCTCCTTGAAGTCAATTTTGACTTTTGTTTCGACAAGTTATTCTGGCAAGTACATGAACAAATAATGAACTTCTGGGCTTATTCTGCGTCACCATGTGCTGATATCCCAATCCTCAGCTGCACACCTGATCTTCTGATGCCAGAGTATAAAGATGCATTGTTGTCTTGCGTTGGAATAGATGGTCAATGACCGTGTTCCCAGCTTCCGATCTGGTTTTCCTGCGTGATTAGAAGACCAGCTAAGACGTGGGATGAGTTTTGGTACGACAATCCATGGTCCGTCGCAGCATTCGCGTTCGGATTAGGAAAGAAGATCTGACTATCACTTAAACAAACTACTCGTTTGTCGATTCACATATCCAGTAATAGTTTATTAGTTAGACGCGGGGACAAAAACTTTGTCCCCTCCCGATAATATAGGTAACCTCGACCTAAATATCGGGAAGGGTAGATATTTTCGTGTCCTAATCCCCACTCTAACACTAACACTAACAGTAACCCTCACCTTGACCCTAACGATAAAATTAACTTTAACCCTATCACCAGGCCTAACCTCACTGGACATTGGCTCATAGATATCGGAATAGGAGAGCGCACTTACTGCCATGTCTAGTCCATTTATTTATCGAGCATGACGCATTTCCTGGCATCATGCATAAATCCCACACACTGAACAATGCCCTTATTAAGGATGGTTATTTTACAAGCTTTCAATTTACACGGGCTTCGCAAAATTCGCTAATAATGACTTCTGTTGCTTTTACAGATGATAACTACAACCTCACAATCAACTAGAAGACCGCTCAACCAATAGTGTGAATGGACACCTCTAACGCACTTCATGGCTAGTTCGTTCGTGCCGTGAATCTTTTGTGACCAATTTGATTGGCCAATTTGTTGACCAATTTGATTTTGAGTTTTTGCCACCGTTTGGTGAACCCTTATTTAACCTACCGATGCTCTCTCAGCTTTCATCTACCTTCTCAGAACAGTTCTTTTTCCTCCTATTAATGATTGAAATAAATATTCTTTAAGGTCCAACGCGGACTAAAGTCGTCTTTAAAGGGATATTTTCTTCTCAGCAACCCCATGATCCTAGCTGCTAACCTTTCAGGCTCTTTGCCTTTTGGATAATAAAACCATTTCTCTGCACTCTTAACTGATATATTCATTTTTATCAGATGAACCGTTCTGATGGTTCTGTAGCAATCGGACAAGCTAAGAGTAAAGACTGTTTCGATAAGAGGACGCTTACAAGAAGTATGGATCCATCTTTCGAATTGGAAATCTGCAAATAGTTTTAGTTTTTCAAGTTCAAAGGTAAATCTGTTGCAAATAACTCCCTTTTGTGGTCACGAATTTAGGATAGATTTAAGGGAACTAATAAATGAGATTTCTGGTACAAGCGAAGATGCGAGTTCCATGAACTAGTTAATAAGAAGCAGAAGCGATCGCTGAAAAAAGAGCTATATTCGCCTGACGTTTCCGACTCCCACTTGAAGCCATCATCGGACTAAAATTGGTCTCTGGCTCAGAAAAACCGAGCGTTCAAATTTTTAGCTAGTGCCCTACCCATGGTTTTTTCGGAAAAAAGCTCTTCTAACTTAACCGTTGTCTCTTTTTATTAGTCAGACGTCCAGAAAGGAAGGGTAAGTTCCCGCGTTCTCTAAGACAAATTCTATGAATGAGTATATGTTGTTCAAGTTTCCCAAAATTTTGTATTACTTCTTAGGACACAATTTTGGATATTTTTACCGCAGTTCCTTCTATTCATTGCTTACATCCCCTGCGGGTCTTCGCACAGAGGCAT